ATCTATGCATGCTAGGGTCAAATACATGACAAGAGCCATCAATGTTATCTATGCATGCTAAGGTCAAATACATGACAAGAGCCATCAATGTTATCTATGCATGCTAAGGTCAAATACATGACAAGAGCCATCAATGTTATCTATGCATGCTAAGGTCAAATACATGACAAGAGCCATCAATGTTATCTATGCATGCTAGGGTCAAATACATGACAAGAGCCATCAATGTTATCTATGCATGCTAAGGTCAAATACATGACAAGAGCCATCAATGTTATCTATGCATGCTAAGGTCAAATACATGACAAGAGCCATCAATATTATCTATGCATGCTAAGGTCAAATACATGACAAGAGCCATCAATGTTATCTATGCATGCTAGGGTCAAATACATGACAAGAGCCATCAATGTTATCTATGCATGCTAAGGTCAAATACATGACAAGAGCCATCAATGTTATATATGCATGCTAAGGTCAAATACATGACAAGAGCCATCAATGTTATCTATGCATGCTAGGGTCAAATACATGACAAGAGCCATCAATGTTATCAATGTTATCTATGCATGCTAGGGTCAAATACATGACAAGAGCCATCAATGTTATCTATGCATGCTAGGGTCAAATACATGACAAGAGCCATCAATGTTATCTATGCATGCTAAGGTCAAATACATGACAAGATGTCTTTGCATTGTCATGATGGTCTTGAAGGAAAAATACAATTAAAAAAATACAAATTGCACCGACTTCACTGGTTGCTGGAACCATACAAAATAAAAACAGAGTGGTATCCATGTTAATGGTCACTATCATCATGGTACAAAATATGAAACTAATGAGCATCAACGGTAAAGACTGAAAGAGCCAAATGCAAAAATTAAATTAAAAAAACTCTTGAAACAGAAGATGAATTTCACTGATATCCTTTGTTGCAAAGCCCATGGGCAATGGGAAAGAAAAGATCATTGAAATTCTGATAGGACCGAATACTCAAAGAGGAACCCTAATACCATCAACAGCCATTATAGCAAAGACCAAATGCATTATATATTTTTTTTAAAAATACAAATATTAAGATATTTATGGTTTCTGGGTTCAGACACAATGAATAAAATCAGTATAAATGATATCCATAGTTGCTGGGTTCAGACACAATGAATAAAATCAGTATAATTGATATCCATCGTTACTGAGTTCAGACACAATGAATAAAATCAGTATAATTGATACCCATGGTTGCTGGGTTCAGACACAATGAATAAAATCAGTACAATTGACATCCATGGTTGCTGGGTTCAGACACAATGAATAAAATCAGTATAATTGATATCTATGGTTGCTGGGTTCAGACACAATGAATAAAATCAGTATAATTGATATCCATGGTTCCTCGGTTCAGACACAATGAGAAAAATCAGTATAATTGATATCCATGGTTGCTTGGTTCAGACACAATGAGAAAAATCAGTATAATTGATAGACATAGTTGCTGGGTTAAGACACAATGAATAAAATCAGTATAATTGATATCCATGGTTGCTGGGTTCAGACACAATGAATAAAATCAGTATAATTTATATCCATGGTTACTGGGTTCAGACACAATGAAAAAAATCAGTATAATTGATATCCATAGTTGCTGGGTTCAGACACAATGAACAAAATCAGTATAATTGATATCCATGCATGCTGGGTTCAGACACAATGAATAAAATCAGTATATTTGATATTCATGCTTGCTGGGTTTAGACACAATGAATAAAATCAGTATAATTGATATCCATGGTTGCTGGGTTCAGACTCAATGAAAAAATTAGTATAATTGATATCCATGGTTGCTGAGTTCAGACTCAATGAAAAAAATAGTATAATTGATATCCATGCCTGCTGTGTTCAGATTCAATGAAAAAATTAGTATAATTGATATCCATGGTTGCTGGGTTCAGACACAATGAGAAAAATCAGTATAATTGATAGACATAGTTGCTGGGTTCACACATAAAGAATAAAATCAGTATAATTGATATCCATGGTTGCTGGGTTCAGACACAATGAATAAAATCAGCATAATTGATATCCATAGTTGCTGGGTTTAGACTCAATGAAAGTATAAGTATAATTGATATCCATGGTTGCTGGGTCCAGACACAATTAAAAAAATCAGTATATTTGATATTCATGCTTGCTGGGTTCAGACTCAATGAAAAATTAGTATAATTGATATCCATGGTTGCTGGGTTCAGACTCAATGTAAAAATTAGTATAATTGATATCCATGGTTGCTGGGTTCTGTCTCAATGAAAAAGTTAGTATAATTGATATCCATGGTTTCCTGGGTTCAGACACAATGAATAAAATCAGTATAATTGATATCCATGTTTGCTGGGTTCAGACACAATGAATAAAATCAGTATAATTGATATCCATGGTTGCTGGGTTCAGACACAATGAATAAAATCAGAAAGAATTGATATCCATGGTTCCTCGGTTCAGACACAATGAGAAAAATCAGTATAATTGATATCCATGGTTGCTGGGTTCAGACTCAATGAAAAATTAGTATAATTGATATCCATGGTTGCTGGGTTCAGACTCAATGAAAAAATTAGTATAATTGATATCCATGGTTGCTGTGTTCAGACTCAATGAAAAAATTAGTATAATTGATATCCATGGTTGCTTGGGTTCAGACACAATGAAAAAAATCAGTATAATTGATATCCATGGTTGCTGGGTTCAGACACAATGAATAAAATCAGTATAATTGATATCCATGGTTGCTCGGTTCAGACACAATGAGAAAAATCAGTATAATTGATAGACATAGTTCAGACTCAATGAAGGTATCAGTATAATTGATATCCATGGTTGCTGGGTTCAGACACAATGAATAAAATCAGAAAGAATTGATATCCATGGTTCCTCGGTTCAGACACAATGAGAAAAATCAGTATAATTGATATTCATGGTTGCTGGGTTCAGACACAATGAATAAAATCAGTACAATTGATATCCATGGTTGCTGGGTTTAGACACAATGAAAAAAATCAGTATAATTGATATCCATGGTTGCTGGGTTCAGACTCAATGAAAAAATCAGTATAATTGATATCCATGGTTGCTGGGTTCAGACACAATGAATAAAATCGGTATAATTGATATCCATGGTTGCTGGGTTCAGACTCAATGAAAAAATCAGTATAATTGATATTCATAGTTCAGGCTCAATGAAAGTATCAGTATAATTGATATCCATGGTTGCCTGGGTTCAGACACAATGAATAAAATCAGTATAATTGATATCCATGGTTGTTGGGTTCAGACTCAATGAAAAAATCAGTATAATTGATATCCATAGTTGCTGGGTTGAGACTCAATGAAAGTATCAGTATAATTGATATCCATGGTTGCCTGGGTTCAGACACAATGAATAAAATCAGTATAATTGATATCCATGGTTGCTGGGTTAAGACACAATGAAAAAAATCAGTATAATAGATATCCATAGTTGCTGGGTTCAGACACAATGAAAAAATCAGTATAATTGATATCCTTGGTTACTGGGTTCAGACACAATGAAAAAAATCAGTATAATTGATATTCATGGTTGTTGGGTTCAGACACAATGAATAAAATCAGTATAATTAATATCCATAGTTGCTAGGTTCAGACTCAATGAAAAAAATCAGTATAATTGATATCCTTGGCTACTGGGTTCAGACACAATGTATAAAATCAGTATAATTGATATCCATGGTTGCTGGGTTCAGACACAATGAATAAAATCAGTATAATTAATATCCATAGTTGCTAGGTTCAGACTCAATGAAAAAAATCAGTATAATTGATATCCTTGGTTACTGGTTTCAGACACAATGAAAAAAAAATCAGTATAATTGATATCCATGGTTGCTGGGTTCAGACATGATGAAAAAAATCAGTATAATTGATATCCATGGTTGCTGGGTTCAGACACAATGAAAAAAAATCAGTATAATTGATATACATGGTTGCTGGGTTCAGACACAATGAATAAAATCAGTAAAATTAATAGCCATGGTTGCTGATGCAAAACCTGATCAAATATTCAGAAAAAATGAGTAGCAATGACATTCATGGTTGCTGGGTCATCACAATAAACAGCTGAGTAGTATTAACCTTTATAGTTGCCAGGTTGACAAAGAAGGAAAAGCTGAGAAGTATAAACAACCATTGCTGTTGAAGACACATATAATGGAAACTTGTAGCATCAAAAAACATGGTTGCTTGATCCTCACATAAAAACATAAAGAGTCATAATTAGCAGCAGCATGCACAAAGAAACCAGTACCATGAATGACACATTGTATGCTTACCCCATGTGTAATATTCATCTACACAGATAGCTAAAATTTTTGCACAGAAACCACTTTTCTACTTGCATTCAATGACCTTGACCTTTCATCTTCTGACTCCAAAATTGATAGACTTTTTTATCTTGATTGCAATCAGTCCAAAACATTTTGGCCCAATCTGTTATTTAGAACTATTGTTATTGTGAATAAAAAATATTCATCTTTCAATCAGTGACTTTGACCTTTGACATTTGCAATCTAAAAACAAAATCGTCTTCTCTTACCACAAGTCCAGTCAATCGACAAATTTAATTAAGGTATGTCACAAAACTAATGTATTTATGCAGAAACCATTTTCTTTCTTTCAGGCAGTGACCCTGATCTTTGACCCAGCAGTTCCTGTCGACTGATTGTTAAAATAATTATTAAATTTAAATTATATGTTTATAATATTTTATTAATAACACCCTCTATTCTAGAACTAAAAATCTCTGTAAATAAATAGGCAAATATTGAAAGCACTTTGGTTGGAGCACTATCCAGTATTTAGGACTACCTACGTTTTGTTTGTATATTTTATAACTCCAGTAGGTCACTCTCCTGTGCTAAAATTCCTTGCAATTATAAGAAATGAGAGCAAATTATTAATTATTTACTATTAACTCTGGTGGCCCAGTGGTTAGAGTGTCTGCCTCAGATGCAAGAGGTCGCGGGTTTGAACCCCAGCCGAGTCATACCAAAGACTTTGAAAAATGGTACTAACAGCTGCCTCTCTTGATGCTCAGTACAGTATTAAGAAGTTAGCTTTAGGACTGGTTGGCCTGGTGTCAGGATAATGTGACTGGGTGGGACATCATGCCACATGTCTGTAGCATGATGCCCTAGAGCAAGACATCACTATAAACTGTCACACTGCAAACAATGTAGCGATATGACTTCAAAATTGTTAAAGCTACGTTAAAAATCTAAATCACACCTTCCACGTCTTTTGTCCAAGTGGTGACAGGGAGGTAACTCCAAAATATGCCACAACATTAAATAACGATTTATTTCCCTTAGACCACATACTCTAGAGTCCGATGCACATTTTGTAGATATTGGCAGTTCTGGAAAAATCAAACATAGTTCATGTAACCCGTTCATAATATTCCATTTTCTCTTCAATTATTATTATTATTATTATTATTATTATTATTATTATTATTATTATTATTATTATTATTATTATTATTATTATTATTATTATCATCATCATCATCTGTGGTATATCGTTTCCAGTTGACTGGCCCAATTTAAAAAGTCTAAAATTTAAACGATCAAACAATATATAAATTAGAACATGCCATCAGACTAATAAATAAATAAATAAATAATTTAGGTACCATCAGTATCCGTTCCAGTTTTTAATTAGCTCTCGTATTGATTATTAAACCTAACCATTTTCCTAGCAACTATCCACCATTATTGTGTACATCGACGATTACCGGGGTATTGGAACTAACTTGAGCACAGGTTTTGCAATCTTGGCTTACTCGTGACAATGTCTGAAGAAGAGGAAACATTTGAAGAGGAAGAGGATGCAGGAGTGCCACAGTTACAGATGGAGCAAGATCACCCAGAGGAGGGAGATCAGCCAGAGGAGGGAGGAGAAGAGGAACGTCCTGAAGGAGAGGAAGGAGAAGAGCATGAGGGAGAAGTACGCATGCAATATAATGATGTGCTGTTCATATTGTTACTGCTGCTAAAAACTGGAAACTACACTATTTCCCGTAGTCTGTTTCACAATGACTAATTTTGAAATTCGGTTACTGGGCGGACCCACCGATGGAGCAGAAATAACATATATTGACTTTTTCTGACGATCATTCTTTTCTGAGATAGTGTCTTATATAAACGCATTGAATCAAGACAAAGATGTAATTTTTTTAATAACTGTATGCAAAATATGCATGCAGATACTTTATTCAATATTCTATCAAACTCAAAGAGTACTAGACTGATTTATTAGGTACCTGCCTCTGCTTTATAAAGTCTTCAGTGTTGGAACATATCAAAGAAATGAACATTTTTGTTAAACTGTTATGCATATATTTTTTCACAAATTATGACGTGTGTAAGTACATATTTAGTGATATAAAAGTAAATAAACGAAAAGTATTATAATATACTGGCAGACCATGCTGTATGCTAATCGCTTATGTGAAATACATGTCATACCAAAAGTAAAATGAACAATGTAAACTCTCATCTGTTGACAGTTTTGGACAGCATTTACTATCATGAAAAATGCTTGTAGTGATAATCAAAAATAGTAAAAATCAATTTCCAAGACCTGACAGTCTATTGGCACATTGTACAGTAGAAGATCAAGTTATACACTGTTGCAGTTTGAAGCATACTATGTCTGGAGAAATATACCAAATACTAGATATAACAGTAAATAATCTTAAACAAAAAATTGTTCCTTTTAATGTTTCCTTTGGAAGCAACTATTTCATGAATGGATGTTGAGAGTGATGGAACTTGACTTTACAATCCAGTTATCATTATACTATATAATACTCTTGGCATTAATGCTGTTATGTGAACCATCCAAATGAGGAATATGGGCTTACCATAAAACAAAATTTTCAATTACATTTAGAATGATTAATATCTTTTTTTAATTACAGAAAATTCCAGAAAATCCACTAACACAGGAAATACTGCCAGAATGTTTATCACTACTGTCAAAAACAGGAGATGGTCTTGCACATGCTTATATAAGACTTGATGTACATGAGAGGTAAGTATGGACTAATGTAAGACTTGATGTACATGAGAGGTAAGTATGGACTAATGTTAAGTCTTGATGTACATGAGAGGTAAATATGGACTAATGTAAGACTTGAGTACATGAGAGGTAAGTATGGACTTATGTAAGACTTGATGTACATTTGAGGTAAGTATGGACTAATGTAAGACTTGATGTACATGAGAGGTAAGTATGGACTAATGTAAGACTTGATGTACCTGAGAGGTAAGTATGGACAAATGTAAGACTTGATGTACATGAGAGGTAAGTATAGACTTATGTAAGACTTGATGTACATAAGAGATAAATATTTACTAAATACTAGTGCTTTGTTTTCAACTTTGACTGATTGATGAATTAAGGTAACATATTTAATGGAGTTTAAAAGAAAATTTAGCAAAGGTGCAGGTAGAAGAAATACAAAAAATACAGTATGTAAAGAACTGATGCAACATGTAACATTCATTCCTTTTTTTAACACTTCTGATTTTTACAGATGTGTATTGCTACCACAATAAATAATATAATAACAATTACATGGCATGTATACATGTGTTACTATCATATACATGTACATTCATATTAATATCACGTATGTACATGGTGGTTTATCATGTACAGATTTAACAGTAATCAAGTATATACCAGTACATGTAACTATTACATCTATTCTTGGTAATGATCATTTACATACATTATACATAATAGTTTACATATTTGTGTATGATAGTACACAAAGCAAGCAAAATTGTTGGTCTACTGGTGAGAATATTTAATTATATAATAAAACATTTCTTACTTGATACAAATCACTTAAGAGACTCATTTTGTTATTGATATGGTACTTATAACAGTATAATCTTATATAAATGTGCTGTAACAAATACAAATGCATCCAAAACAACTTGGTGGGATACATATCTTTCTGTATACTTCACATGCAAACTACATAGACCAGTATCTATCACTTCAAAGTGCCAGCAAATCAGGGTCTGTAATTGTTTTGTCTACTCATTAGGCATACCAGTGTACTAAACCAGATTTGCTCATACTTTGAAGCTACATTTACATAGGTACATAATAAAGTAAGTATATGGTGTATATATACTGTACAAATATAGTGAGACATCAAAGTGCATAAAGATATAACAATTAAAGCACTAAAAAAATTTAATGCAATTTTTTTAATTTTTATTTTACAGAGAACTGACGAATATAAATATTTTGAAGTCCTATATTCATCTTCGTTTTGTGGACTTGAGCAAGAACAATTTGAAGGATATTTCTCCACTCAGTGCACTGACAAGGTTGTTGGTGCTTAAAGCTGATTTCAATCTGCTGACTAGTGCTAAATTGGATGAGATGCCATATTTACAAATGGCTTCCTTCAGCAATAACAAAATATCAAGCACAGAAGGATGCAATCATCCAATGTTGGAGCATTTAAATCTAAACAGTAAGTGAATACAAAAAATTGAAACCATCCACTCATAGCATATATATATTCTCATAATTGTGCACCTGTGGACACTATGGTCTGTGAGAACCAAGGGTAGTTATTGTTGTATTCCATTTCATTCCATATAATTCTCATTCTCTCTCATGCACTGTCTGTCTTTGTTTATCTCTCTCTCTCACTCACTCTCACACTCTCTCTCTCTCTCTCTCTCTCTCTCTCTCTCTCTCTATATATATATATATATATATATATATATATATATATATATATATATATATATATATATATATATATATATATATATATATATATATATATATATACATGTGACATGATGTCCCAACTAGTCACATTATCCTGACACCAGGCCAACCACTCCTAACACTAACCTCTTAATGCTAAGTGCCAAGCGAGGCAGCTGTTAGTACCATTTTTTTAAAGTCTTTGGTATGACTCGGCCGGGTTTCAAACCCGTGACTTTTCGCATCTGAGGCAGATGCTCTAATCACTAGGCCACTGGAGTGGTTACAGTATCACTTGTGATAGTTTCAACTGCAATTACTGTGTAAATAAATTTATCTTAAAAAATTGATGCTAAAATTATTCCATTTACATTTATTTTTCAGATAATGAAATTACACATGTAACTGGTTTAGACCCAGTCAAGCTATCACGTCTTCATACACTGGAGCTGCGTGGCAATAAACTGGAAACATCAGCTGGTATCTATCTGCCAAACTTAAAAAATCTTTTTCTGGTAAGTAATACATTCAATTCACTTTTATTAGTCAAATAATATTTTTCATTGGTTATGCTTGTTTCTAATCATGTAAAATGTCACTCCCATTGATATCATTTAAATCCAAGACACATCTATGAATCTGATTATAAACTAAAGGATGGATTTGCAAAACACTAAAATATTACAATGGTTCACATGAACCTTGGTGTGTGTGTGTATATATATATATATATATATATATATATATATATATATATATATATATATATATAGATGCAATAAACTGACTACGAACAGTGCAAAACTAGTAACTAACTAGCCTGAGCACTTTCGACTCTTAATGAGTCTTTTTCAAAGGCAAATACAAAACATATACAAAACAAACAAATAAACACAAAAACGTTGTGTTTGTAAACTCTACATGACTCTCTACACATGAGTTAAACCTATATATGTAGAGTACAATGATATTAATATAATTAATCCAATGAATATGATCCATTATAGTGTTATAGTGTACATTATATCAGAAAATACTAAAATTTAAAATTTGTATAATTTATTTCCAAACTAGATTAAAATTTTTGATAAAATATATATTTATAAAATGAAAGTATAAGCTTTTGGTGAGTGTATTACAATGCATAGCATGCATGTTACATGTATTGTTATTAAAAAGTATACTATAAGATAAAGCATGCATATTATATAAATTATTATTATATGGCATGTGTGTTAG